AACAAGCTATTAGATGTATGAAAAAACAGGCCAAAACTTCGCCTGAAATCCTATGGTAATTATATTTTGATATATATATATATCATTAACCAGTCGATGTTTATAGTGGTGAAGTGTTGTGTTTTCTTTGAGGTACGGACTGGCCTCTTACATATTATTCAGACGGGTTAAAGTGAATTTTAGTAACATTTATATGTACGCAGTTTGGAAAAGAACTTTATTTACCGACAACAGAATCATTATCTAGTTCGTGGAGAAATTACGATCCACAAAACTGATTTAACCCTCCAGACGAAATTTATCTAAATGGGAAGGAATTTATGTGTGTCAGTAGCTCGTGTTAAAGGACGAGAGTCCCGAATGTTTAAACCAACTGAAGGCCATGTTGAGTATTTAACAGAGCTGCACCAAGTATTTATGTTGCGTAGCGCAGTGTGACGTAAAAAAGGAATTATTTTAAGTCACGTGGTTTTTAAAAAGCATTTATAGTCTTCTTGACATTTGTATGTAGTGACTGAAAAGACGGTTCGAATTTTTTTAGACAGGAAAACGTTTTTCGGTATTTCGTCCACAAATGTTGCATAGCTCCGGTCGATACTACGCGTGACACACACACCGTCGGGATACAGGGACCGTGCGAAGTCCACTACATTATTAACAAGTATAACAGTGAGGTGAGTCACTTCCTGAAAGTTTTCTGTTCTGAAGACAAAGTTATTTAGGCTTCTGCATTCTGGCTTGTGACGCCGAACAGCGTTGAATACCGAGGACGTCAAATCCGAAAGAACTTTATTCTTTAGCCAAAATATGACACAATTAATTTCGTCTCTGTTTTTATTACGATCATTTACGTTTCTGTCAGTGGCTTCATTTTGCAAGGAGTCGCTGGAATTTATTTGCGTGAAAGGACTTATTTTCTACGAGCAACAAACATCGATATATCGCTAGTGGAAACCAGGGATGGGAAAATATATCAGTTACATCCAACATTCTGTCTGTGGTTCGCATAGACCTGTTAATGCCAAACTATTTGTACGACCCATAAAATGACGCGCGAGGCCAGCTATCCTCCTTGTCAAAATTTTCTTAGTTTCCCCTTCGTCCTTTCAGCTGGACTAATAGTTCAAAGTGGGCCACGACCGCTTCCTTCCCAGTTCACAACTTTACAACTTTAACTCGGCTTTGTATAATGTTAGAGTTGAGGTTCTCATGGGCGGTTCTGGATAATCTTTGCAGTTGATGTAGTGTCTTTCTTAACCTTTGAATTACCTCTGGAATAGGAGTTTTATAGCAGTTTATTTCTTCATTATCAGTGTTTATTGTGTCTACAATTAAGACGGGACTTAAAGCTACAAAAACAAGGAATAAGTTCGAAGATGGTTGTCTTCTGGGTTGTGACGCCGTGTAGTTAGACGTTTACAAACGTTTCGTAAGTCCTGGGTGCCCTTAAGATGGAGGCAGCCCCTCTGAAAAGTTGGTAACTCCTTCTTCGAACTCACTGCCGCGAGAACCTCAACACGAACAATAGTCTACAGACAATGAAAGGATGATCAGAAATTATTCACAATGGAGCCCCATTCTGTATCGTGTCCATCAAAAATGGTCTTTCCATTTATCATACCTGCAGAAAAACCCACTGCTCTATTGTATTTTTACGAACCCCTATGTCAGTTTCTGAAGGGATGGTTAGTAAAAAGAGGGTGAATGTCTTATGGCAACACTGTCGAAGGGAGATTGGATGTCGTGGGGAGGGGAAGAGGAAGGGAGACGGACGGACATTAGAAATCTTCAGCAAAGTTAGCTAGTCAGTGTACCAGAGCATGCGAGTGACGCCTGGTGTTTCGAGTCGTGCTTCAGTGACGGCCATGTAACTGTGTTGTAATATGCGGCAATTACCCTGTGTGTTCCTGCTACTGCAGATTCTTGGTAAATGCTCGGAGTGTAGAATCAGTGGCAACGCAGAAGTCACGTTACTAAAATGTTGCCGTCACGGTGAGATCTACGATGATTACGACGACTGTAAAGCGATCGAGTCAGGAGCCCCTCCTTGGACACCGATAATCTACTCACCGTCGCTTCAGAAGTTTTTAGATCATGGTACAACGCCCTCACATTGGCGCATCGAAGACGCGTCAAGACCAAAGTGCAACAATAATTGTGGCGAAACGAAAATACGGTCACATTTCAAGAACCCGGCATTTCTTCTGTTCGATAATGGATCGCTTTTTCTTACAGAATTTATAAAGTTTTTATATCCCGGTAGCTTCTGTGTTGATTCAGGTGTAGCTTTTGTTTGTGATGTTGATAACTGTGTTGATCGTAAGGGTATCGGAGGACAAAGCTCTTCCTTTGATGGCGTGCAGACTAAATCCCGTGTGAAGAAATGTTGTGGTAAAGGAGCTGCCTACAGTGAAGTTAAAGCGTCCTGCGTGGTGCATTCTAACCTGACGAAACCCGAACATTTCTCGTCGTTACGCGTTAACAACATGACGATGGTTCTTACAGCGGGTTTCCCGACATGCAGCAGTCATGAGTTCGTTGTGCCAGCCAAGCTGGATGAGCATGAATCCTCCCTGAAAGACGACGGGTCGTTGCACATGCGGGCGCTGGAGATTACGTTGTTACCAGGAGAATTCTGCCTCGAACACTTACTGGAACATCCCGCGGATAGGGCGAGCATTTTCACGTGTCCTGAGAATCTGCAGGGGGCCGATGGAAATTGGGACTTGAGGTTTACGTTGTACCCCATAGGATTGTTCCTGTCTGCCTTCTTCCTGGCCGCCACCCTCGCCGCGGGATGTCTGCTTCCCAGTTCTCATCACATGTTGCATTGGAAGTGCCAGACGGGTCACGTGTCTTGTCTCCTCATAGGCGACGTTCTACTTGCAATCACTCAGCTAGCAGACAGGAGGGTGTCCGGTGAGGTTTGTGTCACCCTCGGTAAGTCTCCTGCCACGAATTAAGTTACAAAACGGTTTTCAACGAAGGACTAAACTTCACGCTTGTTTTCCAAGGTTAAATGAGGACATCTTGTAGAAACTTTGCGGAAATTAACAAAGCAACTATATAACTTTTCTTTTCTTTTCAAAGTTTGTGACGAACATGTGTCAGCAAACTGTTGTGTGTTCGTAGGCGCTTGGTCTCTTAATTCTCAGATCTGAAATTTTATAAAGAAAATACCCGACGTTTCGGTAGCTGATTTTGCATTCATCATTAGGCGAAACCATATATCGTAGTCAGTTGGGTCCATTCGGTCCATAGATAGAGAATATCTCTTTGTGATGGACACTTCTTACACGATGAAGGAAGCAGCCAGCTTCCGAAACGTCGTTTACTTTTTTAATATTAAGATTAAATTAACAGACGAAGGAATATATCTTCCGCTCAGTACGTTTGACAGAATTAATCATTGCAGGACGTGTTCTCCGTATCACATAAGTACAGGTTAGGAAAATGTACGTGGGCCGCATACCGCGTGTTGGGAACCCCTGAATTAGACGAACGATATGTTTTAGAGGAAGATGTATTCTTATTTATTTGAAGGGAGGGTGAGTCGATGTAATGCGAGACCTGAATGCCATTTAAGTGTAATTTACAAATGACAGAATCACATACGTAAAAATTATGTAATTCCAGTCATGAGTCGATAGTAATCGATATCTGTACCGCAAGCAAAGTGCTTTGTATCTGATCGTCGGGCTGTTTTGAGCACAGTAGAAAACCTTCGGGTTCCTAAAAAGGCAGGGAATTTATCGACTGACCGATCGCCTGTAATACGCAGTTTGCTTTTTTTGTAGAAATGAGAGAAGTGTGTTAGCACGGTTTAACGACTGGCATTTGGAAATTGAGGGGAAAGGAAGGGATCAGAGAAAGTAAGATGTCTTCTATGTAGAGAGGATTAAGATGCTGTACGTATATTATTAAAGTTTTCGGAAAAGAGTGAGGGAACAGAAAATGGCTTATACGTACTTACTCCATGGAGCCGAATCATTCCTGAGAACCACTCAAGAAATTCAAAACATTTTATGGAACCCAAAGTTTCATTACCGTGTTCACAAGAGCCCGAAACTGGTCCATATCCTGGGCCAGATGAATCCAGTTCATACTTCCCCATCCCATTTATCTAAGATTCATTTTAATATCATCTTTCCATCAACGTCTGGGTCTTACCAGTGGTCTCTTCTGGTTTACCCTCTTTGTATTCTTCTTCTCACTCATGCGGGCTAGATGCCCTGCCCATCTCATTCTCCGTGACTTCATCAGCGTAATAATATTTAGCGAGGAGTACAACTTCGGAAAACGGCTTATAAAGTAAAGTAAAGTAAAGTTGCTTATAAAAGAATAATAAATTGTACAATGGCTGCAGAATTGCGAATTGTAGTAAAATTTTAGCGTAATTGTATATGTAGAAAAAATAAAATCAGTGATATGTGGTGGAGTGGAATTGTAGTAACGAGAATATTGTGTAGTAGGAGAATAATCCTTCTAGAGAATGGGTTAGGGTGGAGTGGAATTGTAGTAGGAGAATAATCCTTCTAGAGATTGTCGCGTTAGAGCCGTCGACTGCAGAAACCCGTTGGACAGTCTTCTATACAGAGAACTCAACTCAGTAAATGAATTAAAATGAATTATTGAATGATTGAATAATCGACTGTAATAGCTGGCCCCAAGCTCTGTTTACCGACGGGAGAAAAGGGAATATTGGAGTCTGTGCTGATTGCCTACCTACCCAGTACAGCCGTGATCATAAATTCAAGCCACCGAGATCGAATAAGATTCACGAAATATGTCTTGTATTCCTGTTAATCAGCCTCTTCAAAAAAAAAGGCAACTTTTACGCCATTGATGTATGCACATTGCGCTTGAATATCGATTGTATTGTGCATACCCACTCATGCAAACATTCAATTGTCTGACGTTTTTTTATACACTAGGCAACTTCCGATTTCATCACTGACCCTGAGCAGACCTAAACAGCTCCCTCGGCCCTAGTCTGCAATCATTCGCTGGTTGTGAGAGCATGTCTGAAACGTCGGAAAACTTCTATGACGTAGCTCGTCCAGTTTATTAGTGGCTAATTAAATTCGTGTTGGTAAATATGATTTGTAAGGAGAGTTACGTTCTTGTTGTAACATTATTAACACCTGTTGTGTGACTTGGGAGGTCACTGTTTGCTCCAGGTCTCAAATATCGAGGGTACGTCTTGAGCTTTGGCTCTGTTTACTCTTAATAAAAAGAAATGCGTTAGTACATCGGTAAGTATTTTTACCGTTATCATCTCACTAGTCTTCCAAGTGGGGATTTTCCAAAGTTTTCTCACCGAAATTTTGTGTTCGTTTCGCTCTGCGTTCGGCGTGTCCTTCGTGATCTCACCAATTTTTGGTAAGGATAGTCGTGACGTCATTGTGAAGTTTTTTTTTGTACATTATACTTTTGTCTTCAGCATTAACACGTGTTCTGTTCTCAGAATATTAATCTCTGAACCAATCAGAGCAGTAGGTAAAATCGAACGTCACCACTCGTTCATATTCAGGATGTCAATGATTCAAGTCTTGGTCTTGAATAAGGTTTGTGTTGTTTTATTCAGTCCCTCCAGGAAAATTCTACAATTAGATCTTAAATTAGGCGACTACCGCTCCCTGTCATTTGACGCCAAGTGTTTTGAGTTACCTACGGCGTCTTTAGTAAAGCAGAAACAAACAGGCCGTGTGAAATTTAAAGTGGAACTGTTAATTTCCCATTTATTATTCCTTGTTCTGTCGTTTGAAGATTTAGGCTTAAATGTAGCGCAGTTTTATTTCTCATGAATCCTGAACATTTCTAGCCGATGCAGCGCAGTGTGAGTCTTAAGAGGTCATCAACATTTCTGCTGACGCGTCCTGATTAAAAATTTCCAACCCATGTCGAAGTTTTGAATAAACCAGGTGCGGTGTTAAAAGACGATGAAATACGTCTTCAATGAGTCACTGATGGAGGGATATTTTTTTACGTTCGGTAGCTGGAAGTAAAAACCAATGAATGAAGTAGACACTCATAGATCGCTGTGCTCCACTCAAAATCACCCATTTCAGTGTGATCGTGTCGAAACACTTCACTAACCACGTAGAAAAGTTCCTACGTCCACGATGGGATTGTCAACCGATGGAGGACAAGAGCGATCGGGAAAGCATCGTGACTTATTTATCTCCACAGTAAACCGTTTTATTGTTTAACGTCTGAGAGCTTACTCATGCTAGCCTACAAAAATGCTCTTTAGTGCTCGCTGTATTTAACAGGCATAATCTTACCTTTGACGGAGAAAGACTCCAAGACATTCTTTAGATTCAGAAAGCAAGCCTTCGTGGTGGCTTATATATATCACCTACTTTAACGTACAATGCGCATTTCCACCACGCAGTATTTACATGTTTCGTATGTTTTTTTTCTTCAGAATGTACATTCATGTACGCCCCTGATTTATCAGGGCTAATCAGTAATTTTCTGGCCTCATAATGTTAATTCATTCCTTAGTCAATCTTAGATTTGTTTAAAATACGGTCGTCTGCTTCCCACACACATTTCGTGACCTACTAACGCGCAATTACAATAATTCAGTTCATCCATTTATCATAATTAAAGTCAAACCGCAGTATCGTCGTTAATTGTTAATTTGTGGTAGGAAGGTCCAGAACCACAATTAGAGCAACTTTTGTTATCTCTGCATGAAGCTAACCGCATGACGTTTTACGGGGCGTGTAACCATTATACACTCCATTGGATTATACTGGCATACGAAAGGACCACAATACGAAGTTTAACCATTTAAAGTAGAATTTTTATGAATTTAAATCGGGAGGGCGGCATTTGCTTAAAGACATCTGAAGCAGAATCTCGCATTAATATTAAGAATTCAGTCCGTACCGCAAAGAAAACACAGCACTTCACCATTAAAAAGATCAACTGGTTAATGTTGTTTAAGGATCATATTAAACCCATAAAACACTTAGTGGACAAAATGAAGTCAATGAAGTATATGGTAAAAAGATGTATCGAATGTGTTTGCTAAATAAATGATCTGATAAGAACATTTCAATAAACTGCATAACATTGTAAATGATTGTAATTCGAGTTTTAAATTTACCAATCTAATTTATACCTGAGGACGGTTAAATATAACCGAAACATGTCGTAAGAGACGTTCCAATTTGTAAATTGATCATTCGATGCGGAACGTGAAATGATATTTTAAATATTTTATATTTTATTATCTTATTAAAATTGTGATTTGACGGAAAATATTAAAATATTAACCTAAATTCACAATATGACGCAAATATACTACCAAATGATTCCCAGTTTTTTGCAATTCACTGAACCCGAAAAACTGTGAACATCCGATTTTGTTGACAGGGCTGATGTTTTGGGTTTTACGCGATGTCAGC